GACTTTCTCCTGCGTTTCTCTTCTGGGAGAGGCTAGGACTTTAAGAACTTAATTTAAGAGACCATTCATTCTTTTGTGTAAATGATCCTGGCTCCGCAGTCCCGTGGCTTCCTTTGTATATCCTAGGTCATAAAATTATAGATCTATAAGTGGAAGGGACGTCAGAGGGCATCTTGTCCAATCTCCTCTTTTAATGGACAAGGAAAATGAGACCCGGAGAGATCTGGAGATTTGTCTGTTGTTGCATATGAGTAATTATTAGAAGTGGGATTTGAACCCAGGGCCTCTGACTCCAGAAACAGTATCCTTTGCTCTGTACTGCACTGTACTGAGGCATGTTCGAATGATCTATCCAGAGGCTAATTGAGCATTTTGCCAGGAAATGACATTTTGCGGCTGTAACTGGATGTATTTATTTTAGAAATTATAAAATTCTAGGAAATCATTCATTTGGGGAAGAGTATATAATTTTACTAAGCAATGGTTGGCACTTGAAACAGAGTATCTTGTTCTAACAGAACAGAAAGGATCTTGAATTTAAAGGTGGAAGGAACCTTAAAGGTTATCTAGCCCAATCCTCCCTTTCCACAGAAGAGAAAACTAACCTACACTGATTAAGTGATGTGCCCAAGGTCAACCAGTTAATAGAAGACAAAGCCAGAATTTGAACTCCTATCTGCTGATGCTAAATCCAACACTCTTTACTTTACACCATTATTTGAAAACTAAGGTTGTTCACTATTGGAAAGGGGAATATTTTCTTGTTTGTGGTTATAAGGTGGAAATTGGCCAGGTGGCCTACATTTCCTTTGGGCCACATGCCGGCAAGCTGGTAGCTATTGTGGTGTTATTGATCAGAACAGGGCTTTGGTTGATGGCCCATGCAGTGGTGTGAGGAGGCAGGCCATGCCATTTAAATGTATGCAACTTACAGACTTCGTGCTCAAGTTCCCACACGGTGCTCGTCAGAAGTATGTCCGGGCTGCTTGGGAGAAAGAAAAGATCAATACAAAATGGAAAGCCACAAGAGGACCAAGAAGATTGAAGCCAGAGAAAGGAAAGCTAAGATGACAGATTTTGACCATTACAAAGTCATGAAGGCCAAGAAATGAGAAATCGAATTTTCAAGCATGAAGTAAAGAAGCTCCAGAAGGCATCCACCCTGAAGGGGTCTCCCAAAAAGGGAGCTGCCCAGGAGGTGCTGGCCACAAAATTCTCTCCCAAGAAGGTCCCCTTGAAGAAGGCTGAGGGTCAGAAGGCCGCCCCCGGCCAGAAGGCTCAGAAGGGTCAGAAAGCCTCTGGCCAGAAGGCCCCAGTCAAGAAGGGAGCTGCCCAGAAGAGACCTGCCCAGAAAACAGCTGCTCCAAAGGCCAAAAAATAAGAGGCTGCCAGAAATCAAATAAAGGTTTTGCTATACACAAAAAAAAAGAACATGAGGGAGGAAAATAATGACAGTGATGATATTATTAATAGCTGTTATTTTTAAGCAACCTTGTGAGGTAGATGCTCTTATTATCCCTATGTTACAGATAAGGAAACTAATATTAAAAGTTGTAACTTGTCTTTAGTCAATTCTTTATTAAGGCAAACATTTATCAAGCACCTACTATATACTAGGCATTATACTAAGTGTATAAAATTTTAAAAAGACAAACAGTCCCTCTTCTCAAGGAGCTTACAATCTAATCAATGAAACAAAATGTAAACAATTAGGTACAAACAAGACATACTGGATAAAGTAGAGATAATCTCAGAGGGAACTCCAGTGTTACACACCTACTAAGTGTCTGAAGCAGAATTAAAACATAGGCCTTCCTCACTTCCAACTTAGTACTCTACTCTGTTGCCTTTGTTCAGTCATGCTCAACTTTTTTTGCTACCCCATTTGGGGTTTTCTTGGCAGAGATATTGGAATGGTTTGCCATTTCCTTTTCCAGCTCATTTTACAGATGAGGAAACTGAGGCAAACAGGATTAAGTGACTTACCCAGGGTCACACAGTTAGGAAGTGTCTGAGACCAGATTTGAACTCAGGAAGATGAATCTTCCTAACTTCAGGCCCCACACTTTATTCACTTTATCCACTGTGCCACCTAACTAACCATCCACTATGCTGCCAGTTAAGACTTCAATTGCAGCTTTTTCTGTTAAAGGAAAGGACTGACCACTGTGATGGCTCAGCTATCTCTCTGCTCTGAAATTCTATATGTTTATGACTGTATCTACCATGATATCCAATTATGGCTTATTTACTAGAATAAACATTGTTAAGAACATGACTTACACAGAGATGGAAGCAAAAGGAAAATGAAAGGTCATCTCCCTCCTAGATCTTCTCCTAGATCCCTCCCAGATCTTCCCTTTAAAGAGATACCCAGGGGAGCCATCTCATAATTTTCTCCTTGGTCACATTCTTGGACATCTCTGTCATTACCCTTCTGCCCCCTTGTCCCCACCTTACTTTTCAGCTTCCTTTTGGTGTGTGGTCTTCCCCATTAGATAGTGATCTAATTGAGGGCATGGACTTTTTTGTATCCCCAGCATTTAGCACAGTGTCTAGTACACAGTAGGTGCTTAATAAATGTTTGTTGACTGACTGACTATCTTTGTGGATTATACATGAAAATATTTCCCTCCCTTCTCCTAATTTTTTTACTGGCATAGCCCTGGGGAATGTCATATGAAACTGTATCTAGGAGAAAGTGTTGAGATGCTTTGAATCTCTAACAGATCACAAAGAATTTTTCATATATCACAGTTACTCCTAGAACTTCAAAATCCTTCTGCACAGTCAACTGTAAATCTTGAGTGTTAATCTCCCACTTGCCCATTACTTTTGTGGGCAGATCAGACAAGACCCTACGTCATAGACGTGGTGAGATAACAAGGGTATTTGAGTCCAGATCTTAATTACCTTATCAATAAAACATCATTAGGGGAATTGGAATTTGCCCAGTTTCTTAGAGTGTCCCTTATTATTTTTAAATATTTATTCATTACTGACAAATAGGGTGGCACCATGGTGAAGTGTATGGAGAGTACCTAGCAATCAGGTTTTGTCTCAGACCCAAGGCTTTGAGCAAGCTGTGTGACCTCTCAATGCCCAGGAAACTCTCTGGACCTCAGAATTACAATACAGCGACTGATCAGCAAGGCCTGGAATGTTGAGAGACTGAGAGATTCCTAGACTAATGGAATAAAAAATCTAGGTGTCCCTACCCTCCCCCCCCAAAAAAAAGAAGATCAAACACTTATATAATGTCTATGGTATCTATATTTTGTCTTTAAGTAATCTGATATGGTATAAACTTAATGTTAGTCAAGTTCAGTTATTTTTAAGGGGGCCAGAGAGAGTATTTAGTTAGTGAACTAACTAGACCAAGGAGACGACCTTTTAAACCCCATGTGGAAGAGCCACAAATATGAGAAGAGTTGATTCTGATCCAATGATCTGTTCTGCTTGGCTCTCATTGAGAGAGAAAGGAGCAATGTCTGGTTGTTGCAAAAGAGACAATCTAGGCTCGATGCCAAGAAAAACATCCTAACAATTAAAGTTAACCAAAAGTGTAATGAGCTACCGAGAGACGTGGTGGGGTCCACATCCCTGGATGGCCCTTTGCCATGGATCTTATTGTAAGTATTCTTTCCATATATCACCTGGATTATATGGCTACTGAGGTTCTTTCCAACTCTCAAATTTTTTAATTCTCTGATATGTCAACCCATTAGATTACTGGGCTTGATTTAGGTGACATGGTTAGTTGGAAAGACATTCCCTTACTTCTTCATGCCAAACTTGCTTTTTCCAGTAAAAGAATGACATTTTTTAAAACTGAAGAGTAAAGGTGTAGATTCAGAGAGAAATTGATTGGAGAATGTAACTAAAGGAAATATGTGGGGACATACATATAGGCCACCTACACTCTGTTGCTATAAGAAGCAGAAGGTTTGCCATAAACCTAGCACTGAGTACCCAAAATAGAGTCATCTACTCGAAGGTTAATAAATATTTGTTGCTTGAATGAATGAACGAATGGCCAGGAAAACAGTTACCTGCAATTTCATGATAGTAGAAAAGTTGAGGAGAGTTCATGGGGATGGTTTCAAGGTAATGGATTGATGAATGGATGAATTGATATGTGATACATATATACATATATACATTTGTTCTTGTTTAATCATTTTCAGTCACATCTGACTCTTTGTGACCCCTTTTTGGGGTTTTCTTGGCAAGATACTGAAGTCATTTGCCATTTCCTTCTCCAGCTCGTTTTACAGATGAGGAAAGTGAGGCAGGGTTAAGTGACTTGCCCAAAGTCATAGACATATCGATAAGGTAGGTAAGCATTAATTAAGTGCTTACTATGTTCTAGTCACTATGCTAAATACTAAAAACGCAATTAAAAGCCAAAAAGGTAGTATCTACCCTCATGGAGCTTGCATTCTAATGCAGGTAAAAGGGAGCTGAAAGTTAGTGGGGGCAAGGTTGCTAGGGATTAGGTGGAAAAATCGAGAGAGTTTAGAATGGAATTCAAAAGGAAGCATGTGTAGCCTAGGCACTTTATGAAATGGTGGTCCCACTGAGGGACTCATCAATCAGAGAAGAGGGCCTTTCAAGTGGAGGCATCTCCTGGGGGAGGCCACTTTTTATTTTTTTCACTTTTTTCTCTATTTTATTTTTATTTGTTTTTAGTTTTCAACATTGACTTTTATAAGGTTTTTAGTTCCAAAAAAAAGGTCATTTTCAAGGAGGTAGGGGAGTGCGGAGAAAGGTGCCAAGAGAAAAGCAGTTCTGGTAGGTAGATTTGTCAAATATGTAAAATTAGATTGCTGATTGTTAATATCATTGGATATAATGTATTTTGTAAACAGCAGCACATTTATACTTAAAGTTTTGTAATATGTTACTGATGGAAGATATTGTGTTATGGTATAATGAATACTGTATTTGCAGTCAGAAGACCTGGATTTGAATTCCATCTCTGCCCAACAAGTTACAACAAAGAAAACCCACCAGAAATGAAGAGCTATCATAATATCCTCTTCAAGGTAGGCTAGCCTCGTAAACAGTGTTCCACTTGAAGTTAGGAAACCTCAAGTACATGTTACCCTGGGCAAGTCATCTAACTCTTCAAGCCTCAGTTTCCTTATTTTTAAAATACTGGGATTTGGACTGGGCAACCTCTAAGCTTCTTTCTCAGCAGGGTTATGCTGACAACATTGTAACTGCCTCTCCAGAAGAAAAAAAATGCACATATATCATAGGTTTAAACTTAATCTGCATCTGAATAATTAACATTTTCCATCATTTTCTTAAGTCTAGACAATCAGCAAACCAATAAATCAGGCTCTGATTTGTAGCATTTTCCTAATTCGAGGTATAAACGCTCACACTGAAAATTTAACAATTTATTCTTGTCACGTAGTTCAAGTTACCTCCAACACACATCGCCTTCTAGGTCTAAATACATGATTATACAAACAACAAAAGAACTAAAATGGCCCCATCAGCACCACCTCTTTAGCATTTTGAGGTTTACAAAGAGATATACAAATTTTATGTCTTTTAATTTTCCTACATATTGTTGCTACCTTATATGTGAACAAACTCAGGATGAGGGAATTGAAATGACCTACTCAAGGTCACACATCTGGTAAGTACCAGATAGTGGATTCAAATCTAGTGCTTCCTAATCTGAAGTACAACCCTCTATCCACTATGCCACCACTATGGGCCTCAGTTTCCCTATGTGTAAATGAGAGTATTAGACTAGAAAACTTCTAAGGTGTCTTTCAGTTCTGTCTATGATTGCTTCATTTATAAGAATGGAGTCACCTTGGTTAGAAAGGGCTTTGGATACAGTCAGAAGACCTGGCTTTAAATCTTATAATATGATTTTTTCACTTCCTACTGTTACGACCTCTTAAGCCCTCACTTTCTTCATCTTTAAAATGAAGGGTTGTGCTAAATGACCCCTTCAAGTCTCATCCAGATAATATTGGATATTTTGGGGGGATCCTATAGTTACCAAGTTACAAACATCTATAGGCTTATTTGACTCTGCCAATATTCCTCTGATGATCACAAGGTGCCCAGAAGACAAGGATGTTATGCTAAACAATTAGGGCAGAGACAAGGAATGATGATAATAACACTGATGGTTATAATTTATATAGTGCTTACTATGTGCCAGGCACCACAGTGCTGAGGATACAAAGAAAGGCAAAAATAGTCCCTGCCTTCAGGGAGCTTAGTGACTAATGGATGAGCTCACAATCTAAAGGAACTTGATAATGAGAAAGGTTAATTGAATTGGCCAGAGTCCAAGAGTTAAATGTCAGATGTAGTATTCGAACTCAGAATTACTCAGTTCCCTTTTGTGCCCAGGTCTTCCTAACTCTTAATCAAACCCTTTCATCACTGTATCCTATAGCTGTGTGATCCTAGGCAAGCTAAGTAACCTTTCAGGCCTTCAGTTTCCTCATCTGTAAAATAAGGTTTTGGGATGTAGGAGTATCTGGTCTTCTTTATGGCTCTGCCATTCTGTGATTTTTCATCTTGCCCAAGCCAAAACAACAGAGCCAGAACTCAAGTCTCCCAACTTCAGCGCTATGTCCACTAAACCACAGTGATGGTCTAATACAAATACATCTTCCCTTAGGGATTCTGGACAGAAAATATGCTAACTGATGGAGAGTGTAATTGAAAATTGACCCCTTGCTGATTTCAATATTTTATAGAAGCCACTGTGATTGGTCCTTCAAAATTAACATGTGATTAGAATTATATCACTTAAGCTGCTTAGGCTTGTGTTCAGTCCCATAAAAAGGAAAATTATGGAAGAACAGGAATAAGGGATGGGAAAATCCATTCTAAGAGTTGTTTTTTTAGAAAAAACCAGTGTTTCCTTTTAGGCAGAGATCATTAGAAATGTATGCTCCGTTTTGTATGGCGTCAATCATCTAACTAATGGCTGAAGGAAGCAAAGGAAATGGCATTTGTAAAAAGAGTTGTTTTGATTCAACTTAATTAGTGTTAGAACCTTATTCAATTACCATTCCTGTCTGCATTCTCTATTTTGGTGAGAGGGGAGGATTTTAGAAATGCTCAGATGTTTAAATTAGATAGAGCAAAAGTAGGATTTAAAAGGCAATATTTAAAGTCTTACATATTCTGCATTGATCTCTTACAAGTTATTTATCTTCTTTTCCCAAGTGAGAACTACATTATTGCAGTCTTTGATAATATTTGCTTTGATTCAGTGCCTTTGATGTTTGTTTACTTGAATGATATCTGGGAAATTCATAGAAACAAGCATAAAAATTGTGTCAAAGTATGTTTCTTAGAAATGATGAAAAGGGAAGACAGTCTGGACTTTCCAGTCTTCACATGGCAAAATGTCCTTCTAAAATTAGTACTAGAACAACATTTCCAGCATATTCTGAAATCACAATTAATTGAAATAGCCTTTTGGTTAGTTTTAATTCATACTGATTCCCATTTTTTTTCCTTTTTATTAGTGGACCCAAATGAACATGTAATATTTAATGAGTAAATATAAAAATCTAGACTTAACTTAAAAAATTCAGCCATAAGTATCTAGGAGAGGCTGGCTTTTAAAAAAATAGGCCATATGCTATCTTGGGCTACATTTATTGAAGGATAGTATGTAGGCTAAAGGCTGTGATAGTCTCTCCTACTTGGCCCTGATCAGGGCATAGTTTGAGTATTCTGTTTAGTTTAGGGTGCCACATTTATTTATGTTTTTGAAATGCATTTTTATTTATTTTGTTAAATATTTCCTAATAACATTTTAAAAATGAATATTCTTTTTTAAATTTTGAGTTCCACATTCTCTTTCTGCCTCCCATCCTTACCCTAATCTTTGAGAATGCAAGCAATATGATATTGATGGTATATGTGAAGTCATACAAAGCATGTTTCCTTATTAGATATGTTTCAAAATAAAAGATGAAAAATAAAGAAAATAAAAAATGTATGCTTTGATCTGTAGATCAAGTTCAGTTATCTCATTTGAGTTGGATAGCATTTTTCATAATGGGTTCCTTGGAACTGTCTTATACCATTGTCTTCATCAGTGTATCTGAGTTTTTTACAGTTGATCATAATTATAATATTGCTGTTACTATGTTCAGTGTTCTGGTTCTGCTCATTTCACTTTGCATCAGTTCATAAAAGACTTACCAGGTTTTTCTGAAACCATCTTGCTCATCATTTCATATAGCACAATACTATTCCATCACGGTTACATCACAGGCAACTTGTTCAGTCATTCCCCAGTTGATGGGCATTGGGGTGTCACATTTAATAGTATATTCAAAGTTGTGGTATATCCAAAGGAAGATACTCAGAATGGTAATGGGACTTAAAGCTATACAATAGAAGGGTCAATTCAGAAAGAGAGTGTTTAACATTAAAGAGAAGACTTGAGAATTTATTTGGATTAGTTAGTGGACTGGGGCCAAATAGTTGTGGGTCTGGCTGATGTAGTACAGGTCATTGAACTTTCAAATTCTCCATCTACATCTGGTCCTCTTTATGCTTCAATGGCTGTTTTTCCCCCTATCAAAAATACTGGTCATTTGCAGTTTTGGAGCTAGAACATTTGTGCTTTTCATATTTTAAGCATCTACAAGTAGGTCCATATTATTTGTATATATAGCTCAGTTATACTTTTAGAATGTTAGTTCCTGACAGGTTTTTGTTCCTTCTCTATAGAAGTTGATGCTTAGGAAATTTTTAAAATTAATTTATTTTATCATCAATCACTTCCATGAGCTTTTGAGTTTTACATTTTTCTCCCCCTCCCTCCCCACCTCCCTCCCCAAGATGGCGTGCAATCTGATATAGGTTATACAAATATATTCCTATTAAACATATGTTCATATTAGTGATGTTGTAGGGAAGAATTAGAACCAATAGGGGGAACCACCAGAAAAAGGAAACAAAACCAACAAAAGGAAAAAAATAGAAAATAGTATGCTTTAATGTGCATTCAAACTCCATAGTTTTTTCTTTGGATGTGGATAGCATTTTCCATCATGAGGCCTTTGGAGATGTCTTAGATCCTTGTATTGCTGAGAAGGGTTAAGTCTATCAATATTAGTCATCACACAACGTGGCTGTTACTATGTACAACGTTCTCCTGGTTCTGCTCATTTCACTTAGCATCAAACCATACAAGTCTTTCCAGTTTTTTCTGAAGTCAGCCTGTTCATCATTTTTTATAGCACAATAGTATTCCATTACATTCATGTACCACAACTTGTTCAGTCATTCTCCAATTGGTGGGCATCCCCTCAATTTCCAATTCTTTGCCACCACAAAAAGAGCTGCTATAAATATTTTTGTACATGTGGGTCCTTTTCCCATTTGTGTGATCTCTCTGGGATATAGCTTAGGAAATGTTTTTTGTTAAGTGAATGGAGAGATGGATGGATTTAAAACACACTAAAATTTTCAGTGAGAACAGTATCCTTGAAGGCAGCAATCCCCCATTGGCTAAAGAAGAAAATTAATTATATCATTGTTCAAACGAATGAATTGAACGCTTTTTTTTTGTCAAACAGGCACATTGCTGAAAATTCTAAGAATTCTAAATGTCAAGTTCTTAGACATTAACCTTTTCAACTATGAGCAAAATGATTGTGGGATAAATCTATAAAAATATGTGCCATGCCCCAGACTTTTCTGTTTGAGCATGAAAAAACTAATTTTTTTCACATTCCAATGTACATTTCTATGTATGATAAATTAAGATCCTCTTGCTAATACATCCTCCTCAAATGTTGGTGTATCTAGAGAATTTCTCAAGTAATCATTATTTTCTTTAGGGTCTAGTGCTGACCTTTCTACCTGTTTTCTTTAAGGCTTCTTCTAAGGTCAGATGTCAGCATTAAAGAATCCCAAAATGTTTCATTCTTTCATCTATTAATAAATATTTATTGAACATTTAGTGTGTGGTCATCTCTGTGCTGGATGATAGATGGAATAGAGAAGAAGCTTAGGAAATGATCCCTTCCTTCTG